ACTGTGAAAAGACTTGGTTGCATTTAGTAAAAAGACAACACATTTCACGTGTACAATATTGTGGTTTTATCTCATATAGCATGTCAGAGTGCTTTTAAGAAGGCATTTTAATCTGAACTGCTTTAGCTGGTGTTCAATCAATTAATATTTACAACCCATACTTTTATTCAATGAAGGAGGAAGTCATCACTATTATGATACCAGGAGTATGTGTGGCATGATTGACAGGTCAGAACCACCAAAACCATTCTCATTGGTTTACCCTTATACAATCATTTTACCCTGCCTGCCATTACTGAGACATTACGGCAGATATGCTTACTAATGTATGATCTTAACTGTCGAGTTTTATAAATGTGTTGAGCAGGAACTAAGTGCAAGTAAACACAAACACATTACCAGGAGTGGGGATTGAACCCACGAGGGCTACTGCCCATTGGATCTTAAGTCCAACGCCTTAACCACTCGGCCATCCTGGTGAGGATGAACAGGAAACAGAAGATCATGAGAAAATATATTAAGGGGAGACCTTAAAGGTGGGGAATGTAATTTATTTCAGAAACACTTTTTGTTATATTCCATGGAATGCTCTTAACATCCCGATAGCAATGAATATATTAAATGCTTTGACAATAAATACATAAAAAAATGTCATCTGTGGAAGCCGTAGCGCTGTAAAAAGCACGACCAATCATCTGAGCCGGCCCGGCTAAAATAACTGGATGGCCTACCTGCCTGTCAGCCTTCCATCTGTGCACAACCTTATCTCGTGCCCTCATTGGTCATGTGCGCGTTTGTGTGTGTTGGAGGAGGGGCTCTGTGAGGAAGTGGCAGATTTTTTCCGGTTGTGTATTTTCAAATTCTAGCGCACTCGAGCTGGTTTCTCCAAAATTACATACCCCACCTGTAACCACTCAAACTGTGCAAGACGCGATGCAGGAAATGGAAACAAACCGATTAATAATTAACTTTTTATATAGAAACTCTACTTTTTCTTATTATTTTTATAATTTTTGGTCGCCGTTTGTTTTGTTCAAGGGACCTGCTTCTCCCTTACAGCGCATTTATTATGCAAACAAGTCACTGTATCTGCAGAAGCTAAGATTTACCAGGAGTGGGGATTGAACCCACGAGGGCTACTGCCCATTGGATCTTAAGTCCAACGCCTTAACCACTCGGCCATCCTGGTGAGGATGAACAGGAAATAGTGAATCAAACTGATCTATTGTCAAAGGTCATATATTAAGCGAATGGATACCTTAACCATTCAAACTGTTAAACAGAGCAAGTCATTATTGACAGTTTTTTACATACAAACTCAACTTCTTTTTAACTTTGTCATTTGCTTATAATTGCTACCGTATCACCGTTTGTTGGGTTTAAGGGACCTGCTTCCCCCTCACAGTGTAGGGGGCATTTCATATGTTGGTTTATTGGTTTATCTGCAGAAGTTAAGATTTACCAGGAGTGGGGATTGAACCCACGAGGGCTATTGCCCATTGGATCTTAAGTCCAACGCCTTAACCACTCAGCCATCCTGGTGCTTGTTTTTATGTCATTCTATGAATCAACTAATTATAACAGTATCTGGAGCCTTATTGTATGTAGAGCTCCTTCAGTACAAAAAAGCCCTGCAGCATCTGAAGGCAGCGTGTATGAGGAGAGAGGAACGCTCTAAATATATCTTGTATCTGTTCACTATCGCTAAACGTATAGTTCCCTTGATAATCCTACCATGAAGGAATGTGTTGTGTGCATGCATCCCATCATGTCCCACGTTGTTTGACCGCTGTTGACGACACTGTTGACGACACTGTTGACATTCATTCAAACTTTTCCTGAGATAACAGAGAGCGTAGGGAGCTGAGAACTAATTACAGTCTATATTGTTATTGTTTGAGCTATTGAATAGCTCAAACAATAACAAATAAAATAAAAATAGCTGCTATTCCTTTAACAGGTAACATGTGTTAAAGGAATGGAGACAGCTACAGTCATATACCTGCAGGATTCTTGCTTTTAACTTTGTATTCACGATGGAATGCACTTACTGTGAGACGCTTTGTATAAAAGAGTCAGCTACATGAAATGGAGTGTGCTTGTTACGCACAGAAGCTGTTGGAAAAAAAATATTTGCTCACTGCTGCTGGAATGAAGAAAATTGAAGGAAGTGGCATTTAAGCAGCTTCCACTGTGTGTGTGTGTGTGTGTGTGTGTGTGTGTGTGTGTGTGTGTGTGTGTGTGTGTGTGTGTGTGTGTGTGTGTGTATGCGTGTGTGCGTGTGTGCGCGTGTATAGGAAAATACTTTGTCAGGCCAAATGATGACACTAAGCTTAAACACCATATGGGCAGATTCTGAAGGAAGAGGCTGCTGACATCATACTGAGCACACACACACACACACACACACACACACACACACACACACACACACACACACACACACACACACACACACAGTGGAAGCTGCTTAAATGCCACTTCCTTCAATTTTCTTCATTCCAGCAGCAGTGAGCAAATATTGTTTTCCAACAGCTTCTGTGCGTAACAAGCACACTCCATTTCATGTAGCTGACTCTTTTATACAAAGCGTCTCACAGTAAGTGCATTCCATCGTGAATACAAAGTTAAAAGCAAGAATCCTGCAGGTATATGACTGTAGCTGTCTCCATTCCTTTAACACATGTTACCTGTTAAAGGAATAGCAGCTATTTTTATTTTATTTGTTATTGTTTGAGCTATTCAATAGCTCAAACAATAACAATATAGACTGTAATTAGTTCTCAGCTCCCTACGCTCTCTGTTATCTCAGGAAAAGTTTGAATGAATGTCAACAGTGTCGTCAACAGTGTCGTCAACAGCGGTCAAACAACGTGGGACATGATGGGATGCATGCACACAACACATTCCTTCATGGTAGGATTATCAAGGGAACTATACGTTTAGCGATAGTGAACAGATACAAGATATATTTAGAGCGTTCCTCTCTCCTCATACACGCTGCCTTCAGATGCTGCAGGGCTTGTTTGTACTGAAGGAGCTCTACATACAATAAGGCTCCAGATACTGTTATAATTAGTTGATTCATAGAATGACATAAAAACAAGCAAGACTATCACCAGGATGGCTGAGTGGTTAAGGCGTTGGACTTAAGATCCAATGGGCAATAGCCCTCGTGGGTTCAATCCCCACTCCTGGTAAATCTTAACTTCTACAGATAAACCAATAAACCAACATATGAAATGCCCTCTACACTGTGAGGGAGAAGCAGGTCCCTTAAACCCAACAAACGGTGATACGGTAGCAAATGACAAAGTTAAAAAAAGTTGAGTTTGTATATAAAAAACTGTCAATAATGACTTGCTCTGTTTTACATTGTGTCCTGCACAGTTTGAATGGTTAAGGTATCCATTTGCTTAATATATTTTCTCATGACCTTTGACAATAGATCAGTTTGATGCTCTATTCAACCTCACCAGGATGGCCGAGTGGTTAAGGCGTTGGACTTAAGATCCAATGGGCAATAGCCTTCGTGGGTTCAAACCCCACTCCTGGTAATTTCTTAGCTTCTGCAGATACAGCGACATATTGGCATAATAAATGCACTGGAAGAGAGAAGCAGAACAAACGGCCATCTTTACATTTACACAAGTAAAAAAAAAAAGAGTTGAGTTTGTAAATAAAATATACTTAATTATGAATCGCTATGTTTCCATTTCCTACATTGTGTCTTGCACAGTTTGAATGGTTAAGGTATCCATGCGCTTAATATATTTTCTCATGACATTTGACAATGGATACATTTGAATCTGCCCATATGGGGTTTAAGCTTAGTGTCGCCATTTGACCTGACAAACACACACACACACACACACACACACACACACACACACACACACACACACACACACACACACACACACACACACACCACTACCTTTTTCAGTTAATCCAGCACCAGCAGCCAATTCAGTCTAACCACAGTTTATCTGTCCAAGCAGACTTTGCCCCCCCCCCCCCCACATTATACATTCCTACCAGCATATACATTCTGTACAAAGCTGCATTGTATAATATGCATTAGTCAATGGCCTTGCATTGCAATGCTACCAAATCTAAACTAATCTAGTCTGGGCTCCACATTATTCTTTAGGGGACATTATATCAGCTTCTATATGTATTCTGCTTTATTCGTCATAAGCTAACACTTTCTCTTACTCCTAAACTGAAGTTATTAAAAAAACATTTGTACTGTATGGACACCTCAGTATGTGTCATGTTTCTGAACTTATTATCTGAAATAAAGGGGTTTTCTTTTCATATTTGTCATAACAAACATCATTAAATATCTTAATCTACTGTGATAGGGTTGGTCTTTAAACATATTCAAATGGTTTTAAAGTGGTTTGGAGACGTACAAGGATATATTGTTTGGCACAAGTTGGATTTCCCCCCCTATTTCTATAGCATTTGATGGAAAATGTAGGTATGGGTTGAAGCACACAGTACAGAATTATACATATTAGTTTAATTATTTCTTAACAGTGCGAGGCTGCTTTCTTATAAATATGTTGTCTTGACTTTTCCTTTGTCTTTACACATTTTTGGGCATTGATGAGTTAACCTTGTTGGGGCTGTCCTGCTTTGATAAGTGCATGTTTTCCTTTTACAAAATGCTTATGTGTAGTTACATATAAAAAGAACAAATCATGATGCCACTGTGGGTCACACAGCAAACACCAGTGATTTAAAATCATCTGGAAAGTTCCTATAGTATGATTTATATCCCATTACAGCTTCAGAATCGAATTAAAGGTTTTCGCTTTGGTTCAATCAATTTCCTTCATTCCTCTTCCATAACAGAACGGTGTGCTTTTAGCTGAAAGGTCAACCCATTCAATTCCCTTTCCAGCATCTCACCAAAGCTCATTTCATGTCCTGCTTGGTGAATGGAAATCTAATAAATGTGTGATGTGTTCTGTCTCCCTCTCCCCCTTTAGGAGCGGGAGGGTGGTCTCCTCTCTCCTCAGACAGCTATCAGTGGCTGGAGGTCGACCTCGGAGAGCGCACCACGATCAGCGCTGTGGCAACGCAGGGACGCTACGGCAGCTCTGATTGGCTGACGTCGTATCTGCTGATGTTCAGCGACACGGGACACAACTGGAAGCAGTACAGACAGGAGGACAGCATCGGGGTGAGTGGGGCTGCACTGCTATGATAGGAAGAACATTTTTCTGCTTTTTATGTATTGACTTTGTTTGTACAATACATGTACTTTGTTCAACATTCTACGTTTTTTTTTTACATACAGTATAAGTCAAACAAGACAATAAAACATTCCTTATTGTTAGCCATACAGTAAATATGAACGTTTTATTTTACATTGAAAAAAATTAAATAATGACCTAAATAAACTCAACAAATAACAAAGAAAAATACTAAACTAATACATTAGAAATAAATCAAAAGTCATATAAATGATAACTTTAGTATTAAAATGATATATAATCATGTAAATGGGATAATAAAGAAATGAAAACACTAACTTATTGCTGGTTTCATATATAAAGGGGCTAGGATATGACCTTATAATGTCAACATAATACTTCCCCTTGCTCATTTTATAGTCAATCATTCTTCCCCAACGGCAGAATTATATAGCTATTCAAAAGTATTAAAGGTCCCATGTCATGGCCATTTCTACTGATCATAATTCCATTGTTGAGGTATACTAAAATAAATGTGTATAGTGCAATTTTCCAAACTCACATTGGTTTCTCATACAGCATCTCTGTATAGTATGTGTATTCACTCTCTGTCCTAAATGGCTTGTTGGAGCTCCTGCCCCCCGCTCCCTGTGAGCCCAGTGGCCGCCTGCGAGACAGCGAGACAGTGAGACACAGCGAAACCCAGCCCGAAACACAAACACACACCCGCAGCCTGGCTGGGAGTTTGTGTGTGTGCTCAGGCTGAGTCCCGCGGTGTCTCGCTGTCTCGCCGACCCCACACCAGTGGCAGCGAGCCTCGCAACGTCCCGCCCAGTGTGTGTGTGTGTGTGAGGAAGTCCGCGGATTGGTCCAAACGTAACGGCTCCGCGGACGTAACTATACCCGAAATACGTCACTATACCCAAGAAGTAAACAATGGGAAAAGAGAAATCTCCAACGAGGCGTTCTGGGGCAGCATAGACACTTATTTTCTGTGTTAGAGTTTTACTCGCTACAGGGTGTACTTTGAGGGTTTGTGACTCTGCAGACCGTTTACATGCATACAAACCTTCATAACACACAAGGGGATGGGTTATAACCGGAAAAGCATGACATGGGACCTTTAAGATCAGGATTATTTTAAAGATTTTTTAGTGACAAAATATTTGTATTGCACACTCATGTTTAAATAATCAGAGCACTGCTTTCACTTCCATGTTGGGTTATAATCCTGCTTATATACAAAGCAGAGCGACACCATCTTATAAAAACATATATTTTTCTATCACATGTGTGAGAGACAAACATTAAGAGTAGGGCTGCAGGATTTGGCAAAAAAAACAAAACTGTGTCACCCTAATAACACTACAATCAATGTTGTATCATTGTAAACAATCATCGCATTGGGTGTATGTGAAAGGTGATAACAGAGCAAAAACTGCTCCACATCACATATTCATAACTTATCCTTTCAAACACATACCTTCACTTTTATGGCTATACATTGCTTCCTTTATCCTTTACCTATCCTCCCTCAGGGATCTACAAGCATCATCACATTTGGTGTAATCCCCATGAAGTGATGTAGTGTGGAGCAGTGCTCTGTGGCTCTGCAGATAAACTGAGTCATCATGACTTGATCTCTTCATCTATAATGTATGAAGCCACTGAGGCTCTGCTGACTCTGCAGACCTGTTGACAAAACTCCTCCGATCACGAACACAGAGGCAGTCAAGTGGCACCATTACGTTTCATTCTGTCTGCTTCTCTGTCTCACCTTCGTCTCTCTTCCTCTCGACTTGAAGAGGGAGTTAACATGTTGATTTCATCCATACTGTAGGTACAAATGTTTACAAGATGTTAAAGAACGCCATCAAATACTGTCTGAGGGTGTTTCAGTTCAAAGCTCAACCCTTTCATCTCTTGATGAGGAACACTTTAATTATAATGATAAGGACATTTAATAGTATTGCTTGTAAATAGGATGTTGTGTTAGATTAGTAGTGGTGTACTGTTTTTGCAGTAGTAGTAGTAGTCATTTATGTCAGTCCTTATTGAAAGTCTTCCCAAAAAGTCACAAATAAGGCATAAAATGAAAGGGTAAAAATATAATTTGACCATAAAGTTTGGGCTAAAAGTTAAGATGGTTATATATTTGTATCAAATACTTACAGGCAACTCCTTCAATACTATATGTACACAAACAGAAACAGTTGTGTAAGGGTGTTTCATGCATTAGTAGACCATTTCAGTCTTGTTTTGTTTACCATTGATCGAGAGTAACAACATGGCCAAAATAAAGGAATAGAAGCTAGTGTCTGGAGAGGTGATTAATGAAGAAATCGGTCCGATGGACAGCAGAGGCGGCGAGGCATCACCTCCCACCTCCTGATCAACAGAAAACGCCTCTTCAGCATTTTCCTGACGCACAAGTGTCGTGTTGGACTTTTATTTGGATCACTGCGGTGCTTGGTATACATCCACGAAGACTAAGACACTTTGTTCTTGTTTAATGATGAATCCGGTCAGCACACTGGAAGAAATGCTGCTCAAAAATCACGTAAACGAATAATAAAAACAAGGTGTTTTCGCTCGTCTGGTCTTCAACCTTCCTAAATGTTCCCACACCACGCCGCTCCTCCGCTCCCTTCACTGGCTTCCAGTAACTGCTAGAATCCACTTCAAGACACTGGTACTTGCGTACCATGCTGTGAATGGATCTGGCCCTTCCTACATCCAGGACATGGTTAAACCATACACCCCAGCACATGCACTCCGCTCTGCATCAGCCAAACGGCTCGCTGCACCCGCACTGCGAGGGGGACCCAAGTTCCCATCAGCAAAAAAACGTCGGTTTGCTATCCTGGCTCCAAAATGGTGGAATGAGCTCCCCATTGACATCAGGACAGCAGAAAGCTTACACATCTTCCGGCGCAGACTGAAAACTCATCTCTTTCGACTCCACTTCGAGCAATAGAATGACTAACAAAGCACTTATATACTAACAAAGCACTTATATACTAACAAAGGACTGGCTTATCTAAAGCCTGTTGAGTAGCACTTGAAATGTTTTGGCTCTATGAAACCTGATGTACTTATATGATTCTGTTTTCTTCAAGTTTGTATCTTCTTGGTCGAATGCACTTATTGTAAGTCGCTTTGGATAAAAGCGTCAGCTAAATGCAATGTAATGTAATTTGATTGGACATTTATCCAGTTAAAACCGTTAAAACCGTCTGTGGTAACCGTCTGTGGTAACCGTCTGTGGTAACCGTAACCGTCTGTGGTAACCGTCTGTGGTAACCGTCTGTGGTAACCGTCTGTGGTAACCGTCTGTGGTAACCGTAACCGTCTGTGGTAACCGTCTGTGGTAACCGTAACCGTCTGGTAACCGTAACCGTCTGTGGTACAGAGAAGAGCTGTCATTAGAAGTAAAGTCAAAGCCATTTCTTCACACGGAGGGAAAGCAGCTAATCTCAGCCCTGACGTCTCTCAGCTTAGAAACATGTTGATCTGACACTAAACTGAGTCCCAGTCGCATTTCAAAGTGTTTCCCAGAGTCTGGAGGAGGAGGAGGAGGAGGAGGAACGTTGACAGAGCGTTCGGATCAACGTCTTCTGAGTTTCTACGTTAAGCTTTGAGGCCTGAAGGCCGGAGAGGAAATGCTGTTTCCTCTTTTCCTCTCAGAAGCCTGTGGGTGCTGGAAAATAAAGCAGTCCATCTCTTCTTTATAGTCTCTCTCCTCTCCTCTCTCCTCTCTCCTCTGGCTGGGAATGAGAAACCGGCTGGTGATCCGTTTCACTTTTACCTCGTTCTTGCAAATGTACTCTCTTATTCTCGCTATTTGATATCCTCACGCTTTTATTTTGTACCTCCGTCATTTCCCTGTTTAACTTTCTACTCTATCTCCTTCATTCTTTTCATCTCTTTATTCCTTTCTCCTATTCATGGTTCATCTCTCGTCATGTCTTTTTTTCTCCCTGCCCATCAAAGGCTTGAAGAATTCACGTTATCTTTTCTCATTTCAATTTTTTCATTATGCTGGCTGAAATGGGCTTCCATAATTCCCTCATTTGGACCATCAGGTGATACATAATGGAGTGAATATAGTCAAATGTCTCACATCACAGAAGTTCCTTTGTGTTTTTTCAACAAATCACCACCGCCAGGAGACTTTTAACTTTCCTTTGAGAGACTTATTCAAATCAAATGAGACCCCGATTGGTTGAGTTAAAACCCCTGCTGGGTGGCTCACGACTTTGAGGAGACAAAACATTCACTGTATTTCAGTTTTGGTCATTCGCAGCAGCTTTTAATAGACAAAACACAGCTTTTAAGTGTTTGAATTGACATACGTTTAGCTGCTCTTGACAAAGATCTCCTGTGGCCATGTGAGGACTGAATGTTGTTTGTCAGGGCTATTGGTGGAAGTAGCATAGTTCAAACCACATGACATCTCGTAGGGAAGAGGTCATGGAGAGTTGTGCAAGCTCTAAAACAATTAATTAAACATCCAATACCCTAAATATGGATATATTTGCATACAAGATGGGAGCTTTGTATGCGAAAAGATCACAAAGTACAAAATATACCCATTATTCTGAAACACTTTATTATGCAAACACTCTCACACTAAGGTACATTGGCAATAAAGCAGTGGAACAAATGTGTTTCCACTCTGAGCAATTTTTGTTATATAAGATAAATTATGTATTTACATTAGGGAATTATAAAATACCTATTTCCGCCTGTGAACATTTAAATTGTGAGAGAAAACTAGGTACAATGTGGATATGAAAAGTCAAGATCAGTTCACCTTGTACCTTATGAGTTTCTTTAGTTGATGTTTCTATTGCTAAGCGTTCATCAAAGGAAGCAGTTTGAGATGTTTGAGAACTGACACTGTCTACACTTATCTCCACAAAAGCAAGTGATACAAAGGATGTACAATCGGTTCATATTCACAAAGTAAGGATATATACAGCACTAAATCTCCATTTCCATCCCACCACCAATGAACCCACAGGTTACAGGCTTTTAGGGGATTCTTCCCTGGTCCATGTTTCACACTTCCTCCAAGAGTCATGGAAATCTGCCTTTCTGTGTTTCCCTAATCCTACTTAAAGACTAACTAAAAAATATAATTCCTGGGGGAGGAAAGGGTTTTGTCTTAATCAAACACTGCTGTGGTTCATTTGAGACACAGCTTGCTGAATACACATTTAAAGGTCTCCTATTATACTGTTTTTCATCAATATATTACAGGTCTCAGATATATACAAAACATGCCTCTGAAGTGTTTGGCTCCAAACACCAAACAGATCATTGCAGCATCCCATCATCCCCTCTGTTTCAGCCCTGTTTCCAAAGTGCTGATTCTCTGTCTGTTACTTTAGATGAAAATAAGGAGCCCCTCCCCATGCCCCTCTGAGAGATATTTGGTTAAAAAGAACACAATTGTGCTCTAGGAGGAGATTCAGGTGATAAGGTGGGGGGGGGGGGTTACCTTGGTTGCTGATTGGCTAATGGTTACACAAGCCAAACAATCGTTATGACATCATAAAGTGGCCAAAATCTGATCAGCTCATTTTCAGACAGGTTTTTATATAAATGGATCAGGACAAAAAGAGAGAGAATCTTTGTTCCTGAAACTTTCAGAGTCTCTTTACACAGAGGGGACACATGTTGATGTAGAAGAGGGGACACATGGTGATGTAGAAGAGGGGACACATGTTGATGTAGAAGAGACATGAAGAAGAGGGGACACATGTTGATGAAGAAGAGACATGAAGAAGAGGGGACACATGCTGATGTAGAAGAGACATGAAGAAGAGGGGACACATGTTGATGAAGAAGAGACATGAAGAAGAGGGGACACATGTTGATGTAGAAGAGACATGAAGAAGAGGGGACACATGTTGATGTAGAAGAGACATGAAGAAGAGGGGGCACATGTTGATGTAGAAGAGACATGAAGAAGAGGGGACACATGTTGATGTAGAAGAGACATGAAGAAGAGGGGACACATGCTGATGTAGAAAAGACATGAAGAAGAGGGGACACATGTTGATGTAGAAGAGACATGAAGAAGAGGGGACACATGTTGATGTAGAAGAGACATGAAGAAGAGGGGACACATGTTGATGTAGAAGAGACATGAAGAAGAGGGGACACATGTTGATGCAGAAGAGACATGGAGAAGAGGGGACACATGTTGATGTAGAAGAGACATGAAGAAGAGGGGACACATGTTGATGTAGAAGAGACATGAAGAAGAGGGGACACATGTTGATGTAGAAGAGACATGAACAAGTGGATTTTCCATAATAGGTGACCTTTAAAGACAGACACAAAAATATCATTCCAGCTGGGAAAGGGTTTTACCTTAATCAAACACTGCTGTGGTTCATTTGAGACGACCAGTATATGGCACAGATTGCTGAATACATATTTAACAAGTTCCTCTGTTTGTGTGTGTTTCCAGTCTTTCCCAGGTAACAGTAATGCAGACAGTGTGGTTCAGTACAAACTGCAGCAGCCGGCCGTCGCTCGCTTCCTCCGCCTCCTCCCTCTGGCCTGGAACCCCAGCGGGAGGATCGGACTCCGGCTGGAGACCTACGGGTGTCCTTACAGTAAGACTTTTTTGTGTTCAATATTAGGATACATGTATTTGTTATCCTTGCAAGAATGGAAGTAGTCATCACAAACAGGTTCGAGGGACACATAGTTCCCCGAATAGTGTCCTTGACATGCCTTATATAAAAGAGAGTCTTACAGTCACAAGATGGAGGAATACCGGTTCAAAGCAGTATTCAATGTTTAGTTCAGATTAGCTCCACGTCAGAAATGATCATGCTTGTCATATGTCTGTCTCCATAGAGGCTGAATCATCATGTTAATCACATAGCTATCATATGCCTCAAACAGTCCTGATGCTCTTCTAGGTAATCATACATCCTGTCATGTACACAGCTACCTAGGGCCTTTGTTATCATGTGTACTCTGATATTAGAACAGTCCATTCAATATTTCCCCAACAAACCGCATGGACACTCGCCATGTGTAGAAACTGTTGGCTCTGTTTATTTCGTTTATTTATTCTCCTCCAAGAAAATGTGGTTTGCATCGAAGCTTTAAATCCCTACAACTGAGTAAACAAAGAGAGTCAACATCGCACCAATCAATATACACATTTATTTTAGTACGGGAACACATCACACCAATTAAATGTGTTGAGATAACAAACAGATACAAAGAACAGCAAACGCTCCCTGGCTGCCTTTTGTTTTTAAGTATTTACATATTTCACAACTCATTTACACATCGGTTATTAACAATAAAAACAACACGAATCACACATTGTGTTAACAGTTTCCTTTTCATTTCCCAGAATGCACAACATATTGGCAGGATCAGCCCCTGGCATCAACACACAGCCCACAAAAACACATGTTCTGATTCCTCCCACACAGTTTTAAAAATATTACAGTTTTATGATCTGTAATGGCTCCTTAAAGGGGACCTATCATGCAAAATGCACTTTTGTATGTCTGTTATACATCAACATGTGTCCCCGGTGTGTCGGGGAACTCACGCAGCGTCAGAAAATAAAACCCTCTCTCTTTTCCTCCGTACCCAAATCTCTAAAAACGGGGCTACAACGGAGCTGATCCAGATTTGCGTCCGATATGACGTCATATCTGAAATGTGGACCCACGGCCCTATCAGAAAAGTTGCTATCAGAAACAATGCCCGACTGTTTTGGACGTAATATGGTCGGTGTTTACATTAGCATCGCTAACACTCAGAGCTAACCTGTACTGGAGAGCATGTGTGTGAAGAAGCAGGAAATAAAAAGGAACTCACCTTGTGGTATAACCGGCAAGAGAGAAAGCCTTTGAGCTCCATACTGTTTCAGAAAGAATCCATGATATGGCGTTTCATCACGGCAGCATTTAGTTTAGACAGTAGCTGCCGGGTCCCGCATGAGCTCAGCCCCCTCCTTTTTTATTTATTATCAATTTATTATTTTTTTAAAGCTTTATACTAGGGCTGTCAAGTTAACGCGTTAATAACATTTTTTTAACGCCACTAATTATTTTAACGCGATTAACGCATGTGTATTTTTTGTCCTCGGCCGCCCCGTAGTTTCAGAGCGCATCGAGTTTAAAATACCATCTACAAGCTGATGCTGACAGCCCTGCTCCTGCTGCCCACAGACCACACTTCCACGCTCACCGGAGACTATTGGACTTCACTCAGTAATGACAGTTACCTCGGGGTCACAGCGCATTATTTTGACCCACAGTGGGAACTTCAGTCTCATGCTTTGACAGTTATGAAAACAGAGGAGCGGCATTTCGCCGACAACTGCGCCGAGCACTTCATGCAGGTAGCCAGATAGTGGGACAAAAAGTCAGCACACTCACCACGGATAGTGCGCGCAACATGATTGCAGCGTCCAGGCAGCTCCCGTTCGAGCATATATGCCTTGAGCTGCACATAGCTCCAACGATCCATCACAGTGTCTCTCCACACACACACACACACACACACACACACACACACACACACACACACACACACACACACACACACACACACACACACACACACACACACACACACACACACACACACACACAGTATTATTGTATGAGAGAGGTTCCAGGTTGAATTGAGGTGAATATTTGTAATGTTCAGGTTGTTGTGTTTAATATTCATGAGAATATTTGTCATTGTTCAAATGATAATAAACAAACATTTGCATAAAGCATATTTGTCCACTCATATGTTGATAAGAGTATTCAAAACGTGAAAAATATCCCTCTAAGGTACATTTAGAACAGATAAAAAATGTGCGATTAATTTGCGATTAATCGCGATTAACTATTTGAATCGACTGACAGCCCTACTTTATACATAAAATCAGCACTTTTGAAACAGGAAGTGAAACAGAGGGATATGAGGCATGGCTAGAATGGGTGGTCTGTTTGGTATTTTAAGCAAAACACTTCATAGACATGTTTTCTATATATATGTGTAGTGGCATCCAAGGTTTCCTTTTGCCACTATAGAGCGGGGTTGATGACACGCAATCCAGAGCAATAAGCAGCCGAAGGTTTTCAGTCAAAAAATGTAATTTATTAACAAAAAAGTATTGACTTAAATAGTCTCAAAATAACAAATCTAACTCAATATTTCGGCGATATACTTTCCTATATAAACTATACTTTGCAGTCCAATTTGCAACACTAATTTCTGTTCACAATTTGCGGTCGAAAAACTGTTCCGCTCCCCGTCTCATCAGGTCTCAGAGCCCCGCGGCTGTCCTCCATTAAATAAACACCGGAAGGTACAAGGAAACAGATCATATTTACGATTTAAAATAAACAATCATTTCATCAAAAGATATTCACCATGGCAATATAAATCATTTTACATCATTAATTCATTTATCAAATTATGAATCTAAATAATAACTTTGACTTCATTGTGGCTCTAACAATATGTATATATCTGAGACCTATGCTATTGCCTACAAATAGCATGATAGGTGACCTTTAATGCTATTGTATCTTGGCCAACAAACGGATGAATTACACTCTTACACTCAATGTTCAGTAGCTACTCTTAGTATATCTATATAAACATTCATTACATCTTAACTGACTTCTCTTCCTCCCTGGGTTGAAGAAGCAGGTGTTTGCTATATTCTGTCGTGTCAGCATTAAATCCCTGCTGTGTCTCCGCCTCCTTTCTGTTCTCACAGCTGGTTGTCCACTGCATTGTCCCTCGTACACACATCACACACATGAACATCAAAAGCAGCTCCGCACATCTACATATGTGCTCAGATACATTTATCAAACAGTAAATATGAATGTGCCAACATGATTTACATACAGTATGGACTTTCTGTGTCTTATATTGTTATTCCAGCTGTTAGCATCTGCATTATTCATTGTTGTATAACAAAGAAGTTTGTTTTACGCTGATTTGAGTTAATCAGGAAACACTGTATATCAAATATAGTAAATTGACTTGTCATCAATACAAAAAAACAAGCATTACATTTCCACCTTCAAACCTTTGTTGCATTTCATACCCGTCTCTTTCACTTTCCACATTTCAAATAGTTAGTAATAGGCAAAAAATATATATTGTTAAATAAAACTCAAGTGGCCCTCCCTTTTCCTCAGTGGGTTACTATTTTAAATGATTATATTATAATGTAAATTAAGAAAAATGGTCTCACTCTAATTTATTCATTGGTTTGTTTGATAAGGACGTACGAAATACTTAAAACACGCTGGAGCAAACAAAAAATGACAATGCTCCTTTTTCTAATTAGCACTAAGCTCAACGTACTGCAGAGGCTGAGAGGAATGAGCTGCTTTCTGATCATAAATCAAAGTATGGGACAAATGATCATTTTGAAGCTCATAGCGGTGCTAGATGAAGAGTAAAGAGATTCCCCAAGTGATTATAATTGATCCTGAGGGGAACATAAATGTGGAACCAAATGTTATGAAAATCACTCCGATAGTTGTCATGACATTCAATTAAATGTAATTAATTAAAAAGCTGAAATATCAACTTAAAGGTGGGGTAGGTAAGTTTGAGAAACCGGCTCGAGATCGCTAGAATTTGAAAATACACAACCGGAGAAAATCTGCCACTTCCTTACAGAGCCCCTCCTCCAACACACACGAACGCGCACATGACCAATGAGGGCACGAGATAAGTTTGTGCACAGATGGAAGGCTGACAGGCAGGTAGGCCATCCAGTTATTTTAGCCGGGCCGGCTAAAATGATTGGTCGTGCTTTTTACAGTACCACGGCTTCCACAGATGACATTTTTTAATGTATTTTTTGTCAAAGCACTTAAGATATTGATTGCTATCGGGATGTTAAGAGCATTCCATGGAATATAACAAAAAGTGTATCTCGAGCCGGTTTCTCAAACTTACCTACCCCACCTTTAATTGTCGTGTTGGGGTAAAGTCAGGGCATCACTAAGTCAGTTGTCTTTATCCTCTGGGGACCATGAACGTCTGTATATTTGGTGTACTCTTGATTTCATCAGTCTTCTGCAGCCTGTAGTTTAATATGTTGTGAGGATAATGCTAGTTAGCCTTGAAAATACTGTTAAATACTTTATTTATTTCCTACCTCCCAGCACTAATTCGAAGTAGTTCATTCATAACTACTTCCCCAAATGAAAAGTGGATTTATAATTGTTTTTGTATATATTTATGTCCCTTAAAACTGTGTCTGCTGCTGTCGCCTCTGGAAGATAAATGGATTATGAGAAACATTAAAAAGATGGATTTTAATAAATGTCCTGTAGTTATTTAAGGACACGGCGGATATATTAGTATTGTATTTCTATCAGCCGGCGTGACGGTTGGCAGAGGACTCTGGCTGAAACTAATGTAGCACGCTCAGCTGAATCCGCCTCGGAAAAACTAATGTCATTTTCTGAGATGAAATATATCTGTTGGCAGCAAACAGTTTACCATAGCGGGGAAAATGTGTCAAGCTTTTGAGACGACACAGCGAAACATTTCAGAATATCCCCTGGCAGGTATTAAATTAAATTGATATCATACAAAGGAATATCAAAAAGAGGATCACACTTAATCAAATGTTTAAAAACTATAAAAACGAAACATCTGTAGACATACAGTAACAACTCATGCACGTGTGAGTTCAGTCACAAAAACTAATATTAATAACTAAAAAGTAGTAACCCTTAGATGCGCGAGTGACTGGACCCCCTCTTCCATAAGTGGGTCAAAAAAGACCCGTATTAGAATAATATGTATTTTTATGACATTTTTGTCATTTTGGTTAAGAGAAATCACTTGTATAATATTTAGTATTGCATTTTGGTTCACATTAGAAATATTTTATATTTAATTTTTCACAATTTATAATTTTATAATTTTTTTTTACATTTAAAAAAACAAAAACGTTTTGAGCATATTGTCCCAAAGATCTCCGTTATTCTGAGACCCTCACAGTATTCCAGTCCCTTTTCAAAACTCATCTCTTCTCCTCTTGTCTACTCATAGCCCCCCCCCCCCCCCCCCCCAATCAATCCATGCCGGTTGATCAAGTTTGATAGTCCTATACCCCCCACCCTAACCTTCCCTTATATTGTAAAGCGATTTTGAGTCCTTGAAAAGCCCTATACAAATATAATATATTATTATTATTATTATTATTATTATTATTATTATTATTATTATTATTATTATTATTATTATTATTATTATTATTATTATTATTATTATTATTATTATACTGACAGGTATCAGATCTTGCTGTGTAAAATAATCTTCCTGAGAGGTGTCACTTGTGATGTAGTCTGTGTGGTCTACAGTGAATGTATTCCTGACAGCAACAGGTGATAAGAATCAAAGGTTCCCATAGGATCCCATAGAAAATGCATGCGGGTCATTTTTGACCCACTTATGGAAGCTTGGGGTACTAATACAAAAACTACAATTTCTTAAAATGTACATTTTAAAATGTGAATGGCATGATATCCAAAACATGTTTTTTGAGGAATAGCTGGAATATGAAATGATAAAAAAATGTAATTACAACGATACTTCAAGAATACCACCTCACCGGGTCCAAAAAGACCCACTTATGCATCTAAGGGTTAAAAGACGGTGTAAAGTTAGTGATACGTATTTTAATATATACATTTTGCAGTTTTTGTGCCAATTGTTTTTAGTTTTCTGGTCAGTAAACACATGATAAAAGATGAAGCTTTTATTCTGAAGGATAAGGGCTAGACGTCTTAGAGTTGTTGCTGCAATTCATATTATTCAAGATTATATATATATATATATATATATAAGAATCATTATATAAATCATACAATAAATATTTATCAGGAAAATGCAAAGGTTTTGCCAGTGAACACAAAATCCTAGTCCCTCTCCAATCGGAAATATTTTGCTTCTGCGGTCTGTTAGAAACATGTTTCAGGCAACTGTCCCTCAATGTGAGTCACGAACAACCTGTATTTGTTCTTGGGATGATTATAAGGACACATTATAAATCCTGGAAATAGTTTTAATATATAATTTGTGCGGTTTTGGTCCCAAATGTGTTATTGTTTGTGTCTGTAAACACATGTTAAGATATGGCTTTTATTCTGAAGGAACAGGGCTAGCAGTCTCACAGTTGTTCCTTTCATATTATATAAGATTATTATATATATTATAAAATTATAAAAAAAACCTGGGGGGACAGAGCCTTCTCCATCGCTGCCCCCACCCTCTGGAACTCCCTTCCACAACACATCAGAGACTGCACCGACCCCCCTTATTCTATTATATCTCGTTTGATCACCACTGTAAAGCGTCTTTGAGCACCTGAAAAAGCGCTTGGAAATTAAATGTATTATTATTATTAAAATTGAAATATTTAGTGTTTCTCTGGATAATGCAGACGTTCTGCCAGAGAACACAAAACCATATTTCCTCTTCAATTAAAAACTTTGCTTCTTGGGTTTGTTAGAAAAGTATCACAGTAGTATAACTCAGTATCTGCTGGATGTGTAAACAGGCAGCTGTTTGTCAATATGAGTCATGAACAAGCCCCCCAATCTGTTTTGGGGATCATTATTATCAGATACAACATAATATTCTAGTAAGAAATGTCGACTTTTAGTCCACAGAGTTGTGGAGTGGACTTAAAGTGTTCAGCTTCACTGAGGGATGACTCAGAGCTGCTTTTTAATCAGCAGGAAGTTCACTGATCAATCCAATAAGAGCGTTGCTGCAAGCAGAGCGGTCCAATCCTGCCGTTATCGAGTCAAAGACTTGCCAAGGCCTTTAAAAAACGTTCCGTCGGAGAGATTAGATGTAAGGCTGACGAGGAAATAGATGCTGAACTCAGCTGCTGCTCTTAAACACTTCAGTATTTACAGTCCAGTATTTACAGCATACACACACAACACACACTGATCACCTCTCCTCAGCCTGAACCCCCCCAGTAATAAACTAAATTAATTCCTCAGTCGTACTCAGCAGCCACAACAGGAAGAATTGCTGTCCAAATTGTGTTTGATTTGTAGTGTAGCGGGGACATTTTTAATCCATTTTGACACCTGATTATCTGTTGTGAGCTTAATTACTCTAAAGATGACAGTTTGTTCTTCCAACTGAGAGACAATATACAAATAACCCAAATTAAAACACACACATTGTAACCCGGTGCATGGGAAAGACGTTGAAGCCACTATTTGTCTTCAAACCAAAAAGAAACACAAGAACAAACTATCTCAAAATCAAACTGTCGCTAAGACACCAGGTAACAAATCGTATAAGTGCGAGAGTACATTGTCCAGACAAGATTTCTGTTTGTTGAGTTTATTTGCTTAGCTTTTACACCATCAAACAATACAAAGAACAATAGGTTCTACCACTTCTCCTGACCTGAAAGAAACTATATGCTTTTACGGGGCCAATAACTCCTCCACCTGTGTAGCAATAAACCCCAAATCCCATGGTGCCTGAAACTGCCTTCAAGACAAAAGCAACTACTATTTCCTCCAATAATGACAATACAAATCAAATGACTCTAAACAAGACGTCAATACAATTGTTAAGTTGTTTTTGGTTAAGGTTTGGATGTTTTGCTCTGACTCCCTCTGTCTCCCTTTCTGTCTTCCAGCCTCTGATGTGGTGAGTTTGGACGGCAGCAGCAGTCTGGTGTTCAGGTTGACCCCCGACCCGAGGCAGACGTCCAGAGAGGTCGTCTCTCTGAAGTTTAAAACCCTGAGGAATTCTGGGACGCTGCTGCATGCAGAGGGAGAGAGAGGGAGAGGACTCAGTCTGGAGTTAGAGAGAGGAAGGCTGCAGCTGCTGCTCAGACAAGGTACCTCACACAATATACTGATATCTACAGGGAAAGACTGATAGGTACTGACATCTTTTCAAACCTATTGATACGGTAAAGCGGAGTAAAACACAAGACTACTAACATTTGCAGAAGAAAAGGGGGCTACCATACCATAAAGATCAAAGAAGGAGAAAGCAACAGGTTCCAAAGGATGCTACATTTATAAGAGGATTATAACATTTGCAATACACGGATTTACAAATGTTCTAACATCATTTCGTTAGTATTGGTCCCGGTTGAAGGTCTAAACACATTGCTAGTATTTTTACACTTGTGTGAGTTATGTAGTCACTGTAGAGCTCCTGCATTCATGTCTTTATACAAATAGACATTTATTTAATACATTTTTTTATCCAGTAAGCCATGAGAACTTATCTAAGATGTTCAAAAAGGCCCATTACGCAATACAGGACAAACACAAACAAAGGTTGATTGTTGCATTCATAAGTAAACTTAAAGTGGACCTATCATGCTATATTTGAATAATATAGTGTATAGTGTATACCAATATAAGGCATATTTATACTTTATTTTTTTCAAAATACCAAACAGATCATGCATTTTAGCCATGCCTCATTTTGCTCAATTTGACATTTTTTAGCTCTGTTTTAGCAAGGGCTGATTCTGTGAGAACAGCACCACCTACAGGCCTGGCATATGTACTACATCGTCTCCAGCGCTTTCGAACGGCAATGGCCGTGGCTGTCTCCTCCTGATTGGTGGAGTTGGCCCAATAGCCGTAGCGCCACCGTCCTGACGTCAGGACAGTGTTCAAATCTGGATCAGTTTTTATCAGATCCGTTGCAGCCCCTTTTTTAGAGATTTGGGTATGGAGGAAAATAGAGAGGGTTGTGTTTTCTGACACTTGGTGAGTTCCCTGGAACACCGGGGACACATATTCATGTATAAAAGACGTACAAAAGTGCATTTTGCATGATAGGTCCCCTTTAAGTACTTACTGTAACATGAATATTTGGTTGGTTCTGTAAACTCATCTCTTCTGACAGTACACATAATATTTCCATCTGTATCTCCCAGCAGAAGATTTACTAACTACGACTTACACCTCTTTCTGATTTGGTACAAAAAAAAAAACTTCAGCTGAAAAAACACATTTGTATTTCTGACATGTAATCTGTGGGCCTCTCTGTGGGCGTACTGGTGGAGAACTTCTCTATAAGGTGGAGGACAATATAAACCCCCCTGAGATAACTTCTGATTGGTTGTGGTTGGGTGATATGGAAGACACGCACGCTGCCGCCTGATTGGTTTAAATCTCGGCTCTCGCTCCGCTGCTGCGTCTCTGTCTAGTTGCAGCTGTGATGGATGGTATCCGTTCACTGTAGCATGTGTTAGGGCCGGACTCTGTAGGACTTGATGCATGGCTTACAGACTGTGTGTGTGTGTGTGTGTGTGTGTGTGTGTGTGTGTGTGTGTGTGTGTGTGTGTGTGTGTGTGTGTGTGTGTGTGTGTGTGTGTGTGTGTGTGTGTGTGTGTGTGTGTGTGTGTGTGTGTGTGTGTGTGTGTGTGTGTGTGTGTGTGTGTGTGTGTGTGTGTGTGTGTGTGTGGGTCTGTTTAAGTAGAGGTGTGTTAGGCTGCCGTGCTGAATCATCACCATATGGCTCACCTCTCATTGGAGAACTCATCTGGCTGCTGAATACTTTCTCCATCCATCCATCAGTCGCTTTTTCCCTCTCTCCTTTTCCCATCTCTCAAAAGTTTCCCCCCCTTCTCTTCTCTACTTTTTCACCTTCTGTCCACCTCTCTGATATATATATATATTTCTCACAGATGCTCTTCATCCCAGCAATCTCACCGTTCTCCCTCCATTTCTCTCTCTGACATGTCTATCCTACCTCTTATCAATAAGCCACCCACTTCCCTCTACCCCTCTTGTTTCTCCTCCATCACCTCCCACAGAATGAAAACTTGATGAAAAAATGATTGGCCATCTTTAAAAAAAACGACATCTCAAATAGATGTTTTAAGACCCATTGTAAGACCCCTTAAACCAGTGGTTCTCAACTGGTCAGGCCTCGGGACCCACTTTTTTCCTTTGTCAATAAATCGCGACCCGAAATTTTGAACCACTCAAATCTATTCAACAAAAAATCGTGCTGTAATATACGCTTTTCAGCATACAATATTAATTAAAGTACAGTGCATATATCCCTTATATCCTTTCACAGAACTAAAGTTAAAAAAAGTTTTAATGAGATGATGGTCATCACTTTTCTATAATCAAAGCTGAAGTGTATAATAACATAAAAAGGCACACTTGTATTGTAATCAATAAAAAGGAATACTTGGAGCCAATCCTGTAAATTCACCACATGTGAAAAACATGAAGGGGGGGTCTGGGGGGCAGCCACTTTTGGGTCGCGACCCACCAGTTGAGAACCACTGCCTTAAACACTGACCTGCTGCTAAATGACATCACACATCACACGCTGACACTTTTATCTAAAGCGTGCATGTCTACAGTTTCACTTTATCAAATGTTTTTCAAACCACTGACCCTCTGATTTTTAGATGCTTATTACCCCCCCCCCCCCCCCCCCCCTTGTGCCCTGCTCACCACCTACATTTCTCATCACTTGCAAGCGTCTAAAGACACGATTCACAGAAGATAATGCGCTTTAATAATATTAAAAGCGCAGACAGTTTTGCAGCTCGGTGCAATTTGCCCTTTTGTTCAAGAGAGAACATGTTGCCTTTGCTCTAAGAAAGATAGGCAGAACAATGGATACTGCTGGCTACAGATCCTGATTGATTGACTGAAATGTTTCAAAACTTCAGGAAACATTTAAACATGACAGAGAGAACCGTATTCTGCATTCAATATGCCAGCCTGTCTGAGAGTCTTCTCTAAAGACTAGAACTCCTTCCGGTTCCTTCGACAAAAACGCAATGTCATTTCTCCATAGGATTTTGGAAAATAGCTGGAAATAAGGTCTGTGGTTGAAACACATTTAAGAGACGGATCACGTTTTGTTCAGCCGGATAATCTCCACATGTCTACCCTACTTTTATAATTTTCTAATCATAAATCTAGTCGCCAGAAGCAAAATGCTAATGTTATGCTATAAACGAACTACAGCAGGGTCGCTGCTTCAACGTCACGCCAACTTAAGATCCATATTCAAACATACAGACTCTAAATGGTACGAGTTGAAGCGTTTGTTTGAACAGTTTGCAGGAGGCAGGTACTTGCTTTCAAGCAGAACAGGACAATCAAACTTAGAGGAGTGTTTACGTGTTCGGTGTAATGACATACAACATCCTCGACAACTTCTGTAGTCCTATTTAGCCACTTGTTATCACCAGTGGGGTCACTGCTGATGTATTTAATGTCGTAGAACAAAACGTGATCCGTCTCTTAAATGTGTGTCAACCACAGACCTTATTTCGAGCCATTTTCCTAAATCCTATGGAGAAATCTCATTGCTTTTTTGTCGAGGGAACCGGAAGTGGTAAAACTTACTTCTGGGTTTTAGGACGCGTCACTGTGGCGCTCTATACTCTCAGGTCAGGTCAAAGAGCAGACTTACAGAATCGTACAGGTTACTATACTGTTTCTATATCTGTCAAACAAAGTACACTTTGACTTGACAGTGTGACACCGGACATATGTTGCTTATATGTTATTCTGATGTAAGTACCATTTAACTAGTGTTAGGAAAAATATCACTCGTCGCCGGCTTGGTCTTCAATATCAGGATACATGTATTTATTATCCTTGCAAGAATGGAAGTAGTCATCACACACAGAGCTGCGTGGGACAAATAGTTGCCAGAGTAGAGTCCTTGATATGCTTATATACAAGAGAGGGTGTTACAGTCAACAAGATGGAAGAATACTGGTTCAAAGCAGTATTCTGACATTAGTTCAGATTAGCTAAGGCCTGCGTAAGCAATAAACATGACAGTCATATGCCTATCGCTCTAGGGGCTGTGTCATCATGCCAATCTTAGGAACATAGCTATCATAACTTCAACGCAGTGTCTCATGAGCGTCACCCATGTAGTCATACATCCGGCTTCGTGCACAGCTACGCTATCACGTGCTACTCTGAGAACATTCAGTATTTTCCCGACAACTAGCTTTAAAGGATTTTGAATATTTCAGTAGGAAACTCGAGAGAAAAACAGACGGTCAGTATTCACAGGTTGTCCCATATGAACTGAAGATAACATCAACAGCAAAGTTCACTTATACAAAGACATCATTGGTTTTACATTAAAAATGTTGCTCACCTTTTTTGGTTGTTATTTTTTTCTTATTATGCTCACCATATGATTAAAAAAAGCTCACATATCGTTTTGATATCAGGAACAGCATGTACTTTCTTATCCTAATTAGGGATGCCAGAAACTGACCATGATCAAATTCGAAATTCGGACAGCCCTGGCGAATATTAATCGATTATTCGCCGACCCGAATCGAATTTTAAAAATAATTTTCGATTATGGAGACTGTAACAAATATTCGAAAAATCGAATAATCGCTGGCATCCCTAATCCTAATGTTAGGTTGACACCTCAATAAACCTTCACTCCCTTCCTAATCCTATACGGCCTTGTCCTCAAGTCTCATTCTATATTGGAAAATGTATTATATCATCTTCATTCCAGCACCTTCTTCTAGTAAATACTATATTGAGCCATATCCTATGATGCTTCCCTAAACCTGTATTGGCCTTTTTATGTGTGGCTTTACTCGATGCCATTTAATACATCTGATTTATTTTGAACACTGTCATATCGATCTCGACGTCTCTCTCCACTCGTTCAAACTGAAATGAAATAACCCATCACAATAAAATGTGTTAAAGGGCCCCTCTCATGCTGTTTGGGTTTTCCCTTTCTTTCAGTGTGTTATATAAGTTTGTGTGCATGTACAGTTCCCCACATTAACGCATGTGAACATGTCACAGTAGCAGAGGCACACAATACAAATATGAACCTGAAAATGAGCATATGTGCGCGCCTTTAACAGATAAGACTTCCTCTGCTTCACAAAGTCTACATCCTAACTTTCTCTCTCTAGATGAAGTGTTTTTTTTTCATCAAAGCCGCAGACAAATAAACCACTCTCTCTGTATATCAAAAATACATTTGTCCATCATCATCAAAGTGTCTCCGTTTCTCTCTTTGAAGTAGGAATGGTCTCTCCCTAAAGATTGCCTAATGCATTTTTAATGGTGACTGTGTTCTGCTCCTTCCCTCAGCAGAAACACAAAGTTTCTCTTCCAGTACTTCAGGGGGGATGGATCCACTGATTTGGACCGGCTTGTTGCTCATCTATCATTAATGAAGCCTATGTTTATTCTCCTTTTTTCAGCCATTATCACATACTTGGCTTTAGCTCTCAGTGCAAATACAATATGCTAGGGCTGTGCGATTATGGCAAAAATCCTAATCACGATTATTTTGGTCAATAATTGATATCACGATTATTAAAAACGATTATCCATTTACTTTGAAAACATCCATATATTGAAAAAAAAAATGTGAACAGTATGTTTTTAACAGTTGATTACCCTGAACTTTAAGTATAATTCAACAGAAAAAAAAAAAAAAAATTACATTTTTTTTTTTTTTTTAATAAAAATAATAATCGTTTTATTTCGATTACATTGTTTTCGTAATCGTTGCAAGCCAAAATCGTAATCGAGATTAAAATACGATTAATTGCACAGCCCTACAATATGCAGATATCCTGTGATCCTAATGAGAGGAGAAAGTTAACCTCGCTGTGACCCTCTCCATGGGATACTGAGGAAAGTGAAATATGTATACACAATATGGAGCATGGTGTGTTGTAGCTGTCATAAAGCCTGTGTGTCCTTACCAGCCTTCCCTGCCCTGAAGAAGAAGTGATCCTTCGTTGTGAAGAGTCTACTTTAAATGCGCTCCGCAGCAGTAGCCCCGCTGCGACAGAGTCCAACAGAGAGGCAGGAGCTGCGGGACAGTAGCCTAGAAGTGATCCTTCGTTAGCGTGAAGAGTCTGCTAACGCCCCCCCCGTCAACAACTTAAAAATTCTGGGCTATATATAAAAATTGCTGGCCCGCAAAAGTGTCTATTGGATACATTTTGGCCCTTGGACTAGTTGGTGACCCCTGGATGAAATGCTTTCATACTTAATAGAAGCATGACTGCTTATTAAGTATGAGGATTAGCAGACTTGAAAACACGGAACAAAAGTCAAATAACTTAAAACCAAATAAGTTTAATTGATCTCGTCTCGTTTCATGAATATGGATTATTCAGACGTTGCAAAGCAGCGATGTGTTGAATAAAATGCTTTCTCAGTAATTGCCGTTTCTCACTTTGTGATCCGTCTTAAATAATGCTCTCTTTGTGTCTGTGCTTCATCTTCTCCCTCCTCCACATCCTTGTTCATCTCTTTATTGGCTTTTGGTTCATCCATTGACGTCTGTATCTCCCTCTCACCCCTCATCTTCCTTCTTTTGCTCAACACCTTCCCTCCTCTTGACCTTTACCCGCCCTTTTCCTCCCTCTTCTCTGTGACGCCCTCCTCTCTTTCTTTTAACCCTATAGTCACCTGACTTTTTTCCCGCCTCTTCATCTTCATTTTCCTCCTCTCTCCTATGCTCCTGTACTCCCTCTTCTCCCCCTATTTCTCTTTTACCCACTTCTGTCTCTTCTTCATGCTCTATTTTCTCCTTTATCACCTCCCTCCTCCTTTTCCCCTGCTCTTTTTTCAGTTTAAGTTTATTAGCACAATTTAAAGGTAGGGTAGGTAAGTTTGAGAAACCGGCTCGAGATACACTTTTTGTTATATTCCATGGAATGCTCTTAACATCCCGATAGCAATGAATATCTTAAGTGCTTTGACAAAAAACCCATTAAAAAATGTCATCTGTGGAAGCCGTAGTACTGTAAAAAGCACGACCAATCATTTTAGCCGGCCCGGCTAAAATAACTGGATGGCCTACCTGCCTGTCAGCCTTCCACCTGTGCACAAACTTATCTCGTGCCCTCATTGGTCATGTGCGCGTTCGTGTGTGTTGGAGGAGGGGCTCTGTAAGGAAGTGGCAGATTTTGTCCGGCTGTGTATTTTCAAATTCTAGCGCACTCGAGCCGGTTTCTCAAACTTACCTACCCTACCTTTAAAGTAACCTTTTAAAGGAATATAGGGTGCAGAAACATTCAGAAAACCCACTCATTTGAAGCCATCACCTAAATAATGTTGATATTTCACAGAAAATAATTCCTTCTCCTGCATAATCAACCCAGTCTCACGGCATTTCGTGTTGTAGTCACGAAATTAATTTAATCTATTGATTCGTGTTCACCAACACGATTTTCACATTTTTTTCGTGTCACACAGAACGATTTTAAATGCAATGTATTTCTATTGGTAGTATGTTTCGTGCCTGCAACACGTCTTTTTGTCCGGTCGGATCTTGGAAGACCAGAAGCTGTGTGGTAAGCCTAACCCTATCCCTTTTATTTGAAATTGTATAATGTCTGAGTTTTTTTGCCGTCAGTGAGGAAAAGAAATGGCTCAGAGCCTCAGAATACTGAAATCTGTATTTTATGTCATCTTTTTTTCCTTCTAATTTGTTATTATTTGGTGCAGGCACGAAACATACTACCAATATAAATACATTGCTTCTAAAACCATTCTGTGTCAGAATACTTAAATCTGTATTTTTTTAAATGTCTTTTTCCTTGTAATTTGTTATTATTTACATTGCTTTTAAAATCGTTCTGTGTGACACGAAAAAAATTGCTAAATCGTGTTGGTGAACACGAATCAATAGATTAATTTCGTGACTATAACACGAAATGCCGTGAGACTGTGTTGGCATAATTGTAATCACTGGGACTTTTTTGTAGATATACAGTAGGCTTTTGCCATATTTCAACATAATTATGACCTCAGTCTTACGTTAGCGTAGCCTCAAAACAGCTAAAGCCTGGACAGCAGTTACTAGAAGTGTGCTACTGAGCTAAAGCTAGTTAGCAGCAAGATGCCGCCTTTCTCCACAGACCACAAACGTTTACAGAAGATTGCAGTGATTGAACCAAACATTTACTAGTTGGAATTTAACGTGGAAGTGAATGGACTATCTTCAACGACACCAATGCCTCAAATAGTGGACAATGGCATGCTAACATACAGCTAATTAGCTAATTATACCAACAACCAATTTCGTTGTTTATTCCTTGGCTTACCTCTGATCTACCCCACCCTTATTTCCCTCTTCTCTTGCAGGCAGGACTACTTCCTCTGAGCCCCGGCGTCTCTCCTCCCTCGGCAGCCTGCTGGATGATCAGCATTGGCATCATTTAGCGGTGGAGCGGCGCAGCGCTCACCTCAACCTCACTGTGGACAAACACACGGAGAGTATTCAGATCCCTGCAGAGTTCAGCCACTGGCACATCCAGCAGGTGGGGGAGAGGATGCCACTCTGACACAGAAACAAGCCCTTATACACATACTCTACGCATATGTTTCACAGGATCTGTTTTGTGTCTCCGTTTAGCTGATTGTCGGGGCAATCCAGTACCCCGTCTCAAAGAGGAACTTTCATGGCTGCCTTGAAAACCTGATGTACAACGACCTCAAGCTCATAGAGTTAGCCAAACACAAAGACCACCAAGTTACTGTCATGGTACGTCCCATTTTTACCATTTTTCTGAGATGTTAACTTTCCATGGTGGTGAAAGCCCATCATCATTTGCTAATAGTTCAATTGTTGTTAATGCTTTTCGGTAGTGGTCAGATGCTCCTCAGAAACATAACAGTATTGATCAGATATTACCTTTGAAAGGGTAGATCTATTGAAAATACCAGCCTACACATTTTCCGTGGCACCACATGCAGTTGTTTTTTATTCCTCCAATGTGGTGATGACAGATCACGTAATTCATTTGGGGGGAAAGCAAAGAGCTTTGATGTTCATCTCCTCAAACTCTCTGGGCCCTGAGCTTTTATTTGTTTTAGAGAGAACACAGCATCAATCGCTGGAGCTGCGCCACCTCAAATAAAAAAACTGGAGGCTAAATTTGGTTCTTATAAAAGATTCTGCTCAGTGTTATGTGTGACTTACTCTCTAGAAGAGGGTCTAACAAGGACACAAGTTACAGCTTTTTGGCTTCTCCGTTCCCTGTAGTGTGTTGCATAGGTTGTTGTGCATGTACATGGTCTGCAAAGGCTACATTCACAGAGTTTCGCTCCTCCCCCCATCCTTTGTTTACTTCTGGAAAATAGTGACATCACTGTGTAACACTCACGCTTCTATTGGCTAGTGCTCCAACACTTTGTACGTGATAGGCTAAGGGGGCGGGACATCTCTAAGCGGTAGACCAATCATAGAGAAATAAAGAGCTTTGTGAACATTAAAGCAAGGAGACATGTCCCAGTAGAGACACTACATACTGATATACACCTGAACATCAGCAGGAGAGGACTCTTTAAAGTAGAGACACTACATACTGATATACACCTGAACATCAGCAGGAGAGGACTCTTTAAAGTAGAGACACTACATACTGATATGCACCTGAACATCAGCAGGAGAGGACTCTTTAAAGTAGAGACACTACATACTAATATACACCTGAACATCAGCAGGAGAGGACTCTTTAAAGTAGAGACACTACATACTGATATACACCTGAACATCAGCAGGAGAGGACTCTTTAAAGTAGAGACACTACATACTGATATACACCTGAACATCAGCAGGAGAGGACTCTTTAAAGTAGAGACACTACATACTGATATACACCTGAACATCAGCAGGAGAGGACTCTTTAAAGTAGAGACACTACATACTGATATGAACCTGAACATCAGCTGGAGAGAACTCTTTAAAGTAGAGACACTACATACTGATATACACCTGAACATCAGCAGGAGAGGACTCTTTAAAGTAGAGACACTGAAAATGAAAATGAGCATATATAGCATGTATAACAAATGGGAATGTGTGTGTTTTCATACATCCTCATTTGGATGCTAACGAGCTGCTAGCAGGTTACTGAAGCTGACGACCGTTAACAAGGACAGTGAGTGATGAGAGGACAGAGGGCGATGCAAAGACTTACACCTCTTTGACTATTTTTAATAAGACCTTCATATTTTTCTATAATGACAACAAGTGGACCGAGCTCAATGGAGAGCAACTCTTAACCATTTCTGATATACAGTCTCTCATTACAGTTGAAGTGCAGAGAAGATAACAAAAAAGGTTTCATATGCATGGTGGATTTAATATAGGCTATAGTTATAGTCCTTTTAAGTATACACACCACTTTTGCCTTCTTAAAGGTACGATAACAAAATGAAGTGAAGCCTTGAATGATGTTTGTGTGTGAGGGGGATTTGGAGTGCGACTGCATGCCAGTGAATGGCTTTTGGGACATTTTATTGCTCACTTTTTACTTTATACTTTGCAGTGGTGCTGCTCCATGCGCCTCCATATTTCACTTTAACAGCTCCACAAAGGGCCATTAGATGCCATCGATGTTTCAGGAGCATTATAAAGATAGCAGGCTGATATTCCCAGCAGAGAGGACTGTAATATATTTCTGCTGCAGCCTAAGCAATAGACCTGGTGTCATTACCACTACTCAAAACAATGGGCCGCAGCGGAGCGGTGTATACAGTTCTGTTCACATACATACCGCCTCCCTTCACACCTCTCTGTTGTGTGACATTCATATTTTTCCACTTTGCATCCATTGCTTTTAATCTCAAGGGGACTTGCTGATGAGATCATTGCCCCAGAGGTCACATCGGCTACTGATTAATATTCATGTTTCTGTTGTGTTATCTCTCTAGTAATCATTTTCCTCTCCCTCCTCGTCCTCTCTCCGCTCTCAGGGCAATGTCACCTTTTCTTGTGCTGAGTCGGTATCCGTCGCCGTGACCTTCCCCGGACCCCAGAGCTTCCTCCAGTTGCCGGGGGCCACGCCGTCGTCGTCAGGGGGCGTGTCCGTCGGGTTCCAGTTCAGGACGTGGAACAAGGCGGGGCTTCTGCTGACCTTTGACCTGCTTCAGGGAGGGGGCGTGGCCTGGCTCTACCTGAGTGAGGCCAGAGTCCGGCTGCAGGTCCATAAAGCTGGCAGGGCGCTGCTGGAGCTCAGTGCAGGTCAGTCAAACTGCCTCAAAAAGTGAATGTCAAACCTTTTACAGCATGTTACCAATAGAGCAATGCTGCAGTGACGCATTTTGGTAGGCTGACCTGGAAGTAAGTATCACAAGGGTTCCAGAAGTGCGTAAATGCTAACTAATTTTCCAGATTTTAAGATGAATTATTTCACCACTTTCCAAAATCCACTTTTTCATGTCTCTTCTACATCAACATGTGTCCCCTCTTCTTCATGTCTCTTCTACATCAAAACGTGTCCCCTCTTCTTCATGTCTCTTCTACATCAACATGTGTCCCCTCTTCTTCATGTCTCTTCTACATCAAAATGTGTCCCCTCTTCTCCATGTCTCTTCTACATCAACATGTGTCCCCTCTGTGGAAAGAGACTCTGAAAGTTTCAGGAACAAAGATTCTCTCTCTTTTTGTCCTGATCCATTTATATAAAAACCTGTCTGAAAATGAGCTGATCAGATTTTGGCCACGTTATGATGACATAACGATGTTTTGGCTTGTGTAACCATTAGCCAATCACCAACCAAGGTAACCCCCCCCCCCCCCCCCCCCCCACCTTATCACCTGAATCTCCTCCTAGAGCTCCATGTAGCGTGTTCACACCGGAGTACTTTTCCCCGTACTTTTCCCGTTTAGTTCCGTTAGTACCCCTTATGTCGCGTTCACACCAAAAAGAGCACTTAATCTCGGGAACTTTTACCCACATTTTTAGTGCCTGCTGAGAGATGGTACTCTCCTGGGGGAAAAAAGTGCCCCAGTTCTGATTGGCTGGGCGAATTGCAAACCACGCCCCGTAAAACTCTGAAATGTTTTGTAGAGCCGCCATTTTATTATCCTGGCATTAGCATTATTAGCATTAGCATTCGCCCAGCGCACAAACGCAGAGAGACTAACTTATGGCAACACAAAATAAAACATGGGAGCGGTGGAGATGAGGAGGTGTCGGCGTTCTGGCGATTTACTCGGAAGGCTTCAGTAGAAGCTGCTGGGAGTCCCAGCAGCTTCTACTGAAGCCAGTCCCCAACTCCGGGGACTTCCGGCCGGGGACTCCGGGTGGCAGTATACGTCGTGAAGTGGTTTGCGGCCTGCCAGTAAACCCAAAGCAGAAGAAGACGAAGTGACGTCAGCGGCTCATTTGTGTAATCTTACCTCAGGGCACTTATTCCGGTGTGAACACGATCGGCTCTTAGTTCCATAGGGGAACTAAGTGCTGGGAACTAAGTGCGGCAAAGTACTTGGTGTGAACGCGGCTATTGTGTTCTTTTTAACCAAATATCTCTCAGAGGGGCGTGGGGAGGGGCTCCTTATTTTCATCTAAAGTAACAGACAGAGAATCAGCACTTTTGAAGCAGGGCTGAAACAGAGGGGATTATGGGTAATGCTGCAATGATCTGTTTGGTGTTTGGAGCCAAACACTTCAGAGACATGTTCTGTATATATCTGACACCTGTAATATATTGATGAAAAACAGTATGATAGGGCACCTTTAATAGCTAAACATCCTACTTATAACTAATATAAACTTCACCCCGAATAGATACATTTTTAATGAGGATGGAAATATTTCATCTGACTGTTTAACACTGTTTTAAAAATCCTCCATAATTGAAAAAGCAGATGATGATAATAATGATTATTTTGTTATGTTTTCCCAGGTTCTGCTCTGAATGACGGTCAGTGGCATTCGGTGGATCTGAACTCCAGGCGAGGTCGTCTGAGCATCATCGTGGATAAAGAGGAAGGAGGCAGCGCTCACGCCACTCCTTCATTTCCTGTCACTGTAGAAAGTCACCTCTTCTTTGGTGGTAAGAGGAAAATAAGTCGTCTCAAAGTCTGAATTAACTTTCAACGGCCAATCAAATGGAATTTATAGGACTGGGATATTCAAGCTGTAGAAAATGAAAGTAGTAAGAGTAGTTTTGCTACAAATAAATAAATGACTTTAATAACGTGCTGCAGTAGGTATTCCTAATTCATTAATAATTATATTACTGCCCTTTTTTGTCTGGATTTTTATTTATTTCCTGTTTCCAAGGCCAACCTATTATATATATTTTGAATAACTTTTTCAGCACATGCAGTTAAATGGTGTCTTTTCATCGATATGACGCTACTACCTCTTCAGATTAAACTTCAAGGTTCTTACGGTCATTAAAAACCTGGAAAAGTCATGGAAATTCAAAATGCAAATTCGAGGCCCTGGAAAAGTTATGGAAATGTAACTAAAGTTGCATCAAATATCATTTATATTTTAGCTAATCGCCGAAATAGTAATACTATAATGATAATACATACTGTATCGTATAGTAATGAAACGTAAAATGGCATTTAACTGACGAGGTATTTTGCTGGTGAGAGATTTTAGTTGCCTTAGCGTGTAGAAGCTAGTAAGCCTACTATTTGATTTGCTTTAGATAGGCACGACATGTTTCATATGCAGACCTTATTTTCCTGTTCCATGTTATAATAAACCATTTTCAGTGGTACCTACTGCTGAGAAAGAGTCATTTTTTTTGGTCATGGAAAATTAGGTAAAGGTCCTGGAGAAGTCATGGAGAAGTCATTGAAAATCATTGGTGAAAAAGTGTATGAACCCTGAAACTTGAATACTACATTTTAAGTTGCAGTTAATGCAGTAGTGCTGTAGACTAACTGATGTATTATAATTTGATATCAACATTTGCCAGGAAAGATTTGTATACATATTTAAACTTCATAATATCTTTCTGTATTTTACAGCTTGTGACGTCAATACTCACATCTGCAATCTGTGGCTACATTTAGCTTGTGGCTGTTTCATACTTAAAGTCATAAGTCTGCATTATCTTTCCCTCTCTCGTTCCTCTCTTTATTCTGTCCTTTTATCCTCCTCTCTCTCATCTCTCCCCTCTCTCTCATCTCTCCCTTCTCCCCGGTCTTTTTTATTTCCTTCTGCCTCCGTCTCTTTAATCTCTTTTGTCCTCCCTTTGCTCGGCCGTATTGCAGTCCAGGCATGTTCTTTAACTGCCTTAGGCTTTTTATCATCCTGCACACACACACACACACACACACACACACACACACACACACACACACACACACACACACACACACACACACACACACACACACACACACACACACACACACACACACACACTTTTCCAAATGGACTACTAAGTAGAACAAAATACCTCCGTTCATTTGATAAAGGCTTGGCCTATTTTTGCACTATTCCAGCCACTTGAGAATACCCAAATCACAGCTCAACTCTCAGTGTGGCAGAATACCAGTTTCACATAATATAACTCTTTAGTAAATAACAACATGTATATTTAACCATATGCAACGTTTGACCAATAGTCCTACAGTAAATAACTGTGGTTTAAGCCCAAACTACTTTTGTGCCACGAGTGTCCATAATACTCAAGCCATAAAGAGCTTAACTGTGAGTCTCTTTAAGAGAAAATCCCTTTAGAATCTAAATAAAGGATTTTTATTATTGGCCATAACACTTTTTTTCATCCAAGGTTCACCTTCCTCTAAATATGAAGACAAAACCAACATGACAGCATTCAAACTTCCTTCTATTATGAACATTTTTACATGTGACTTTCCTCACTGTTGTCCTGTTGTCCTGTTGTCCTGTTGACTGTAAACGCTGTCTTTGCTTCCATCAGGTTGTCCGGCTGAAGAGGACCGTCAGGAATGCAAAAATCCCTTCAACATCTTTCAGGGCTGCATGCGTCTCCTCAGTGTGGAGAACCAGCCCGTGGACCTGATGAAGGTGCAGCAAAGGCTGCTGGGAAACTACAGCCACCTGCAGATCGACATGTGTGGCATCATTGACAGGTCAGAACCACCTAACCCATTCTCATTAGTCTACCATCAGACAATCATTTGACCCTGCCTGCCATGGCGCTTGTTACTACTGTATCTTCACTTTTGAGTTTTATAAATATGTTGACAGAAACTAAGTGCAAGTAAACCCTTGCTTATCACCGCTTGGGACCTGCTTCTTTCATACATGGGTGATATGTTTTATATATGTCACTGTATCTGCGTCATACTTCCTGAATGAAAAGTGAACTTTAATATTAGTCAAATATGAAGAAGTTAAACTTTAAACATCCATGACTTAAACACTTTATCCAGGATAAAAGCCACATAGCTGCACCTGCAAGGTGAATACAGCTGGTGAAAGAAAAAGTGTTTGAATGCGTACATTAACAGGTTTATGAAATCACTGCCCCGTCCAAGACACGAGTGGATCTGACTTTAATTACATTTGACTCGAGTGTTTCGTCAACTTAATGTGTTGCTTAAAATAATACTTCTGCATACAGTATGTGACACTGTGAGTGTTGCACGGCCAGATACGGCTCAAGAAGCTGACTCAAATAAGGAAATATATGATACATTATGATGTGATATGAATGATAATGGGACACATCGACGTCTGCACTCACAGTGCCGCGGACTGTACTTAATGTTACTTTGATCCGGTTACTTATGTCGTGGCAGATATTTAAGTAAGCTTTCTTAACGCTAATGTTATAATAGTCAGATTGTTCTGAAGATGGGAGGGGATATTCTATTAATTTTCACGTTCACACAGTCAGTTGATTTTTGCCGGCCGTCTTTCCTGCAACGGCAGTTTTTCTGTATTCCCTCTATCCTGTAATATGACTTGATCGCTTTAAACTCCGCACACGGAGCTCTGATTGGTCAGCAGGCGGTGCTTTCACTGAGTTGATCTCTTAGCCTGCAACCTGTTAGCCGTTCAGCATAAGTTACCATGGAGATCTAGCTCGGTAAGAAGAGAACCAGCGTCGTAGGACCGAAAACCCAGAGTTTTCCCTGCATTTAGCTCGCTAAGCGAAAATCCGGCTTCGTAGTACAGGGGGCTATACTACGAATCAAGATTTTCGTTTAGCAAGCTAACTTCAGGGGTTTCCGGTCCTACGAAGCTGGTTCACTTTTTAGCGGGCTAGATAACTTATTCTGAACGGCTATCCTCCGGAGCAGGATAGGTTCCAGGATAAAAGCACTGCCTGCTGACCAATCAGAGCTCAGTGTGCGGAGTTTAAAGCGATCAATTCATATGACAGGAGGAGAAAGGAAATACAGTTTAAACTGCCGTTGCAGGAAAGACGGCCGGCCAAAATCACCGACTGTGTGAACGTGAAAATTAATAGAATATCACCTCCCATCTTCAGAGCAATCTGACTATTATAACATTAGCGTTAAGAAAGCTTACTTAAATATCTGCCACGACATAAGTAACCTACAGTCCGCGGCACTGTGAGTGCAGACGTCGATGTGTCCCATTATCATTCATATCACATGATATCACATCATAATGTATCATATATTTCCTTATCTGAGTCAGCTTCTTGAGCCGTATCTGGCCGTGCAACACTCACAGTGTCACATACTGTATGCAGAAGTATTATTTTAAGCAACACATTAAGTTGACACTCGAGTCAAATGTAATTAAAGTCAGATCCACTCGTGTCTTGGACGGGGCAGCAGTGATATCATAAACCTGTTAATGTACGCATTCAAACACTTTTTCTTTTACCAGCAGTAGCCTATTCACCTTGCAGCTGCAACTATGTGGCTTTTATCCTGGGTAAAGTGTTTAAGTCATGGATGTTTAAAGTTTAACGTCTTCATATTTGTCTAATATTAGTTGACTTTTCATTCAGGAAATATATGACGCGCTGCGCTGTCAGTACACGGCTTGTCCATGTTTGTGATTGGTCGAATGCTCCAAATACCACCCCTTTTATGTGAACGCGCACCTAACTAGATAGGACACGGCTGGCTTGCGGTCGAGGTGATAGCCAGCGTCGTAGGACAGTTTAGCGAGAGCGTTTTTTTTTTTTGGATTTAGTCAACCGGATAACTCAAAACATATCCAGGATATGTTGAACTAGATTCGTAGTATACCCCCCAGGCCTCTGCTTCTCCCTTACATTTACTATGCAAATATGTCACTGTATCTGCAGAAGCTAAGAATTTACCAGGAGTGGGGTTTGAACCCACGAGGGCTACTGCCCATTGGATCTTAAGTCCAACGCCTTAACCACTCGGCCATCCTGGTGAGGATGAACAGAGGGTGTTTCTCAATCGCGAGTACGCTTGCTTGGTAGCACATGTCTGCCGAGCATCTTGCTTCAGAAGCGAGGCAAGAATCCTTCCTGGCATTCGGAAAACAAAGTGTGGAACACGCTAGCAAGTGTGCAGGTGTGCGTCATATGAGAGGCCCCGCCTTACATTTTCCGCCACAGATTTGGCGAAATTGGTCCGTGCGCAAAGCATTGTGGGGATTTTAAGACCGCGGAGTCTACTCATGTGCAGCCTCGATATCTCTCCAAACGGAGTACGCCGGGCTCGGTAGATTTCCAAGTATGCTGGAGATTGGAACAGTCCTTCGGCGGCACTCGATGACGTAGTATGCTTGAAATAGTGGCTCTGAAGCAGCTTTACTCGAGATTGAGAAACACCCAGTAAATACTGTAGATTGTAGAACATCAAATGAATCCATGGTCAAAGGTCGAGAAAATATATAAATGACAAAGATCCTTCATGATCGCCTGTTGGTGTTTTTATCATGTTCTGTTGCTTTTACCTCTTAGAATATTTAACTAATTGTATGGTGTCCTTGGGTGTCATGAAAGGCGCCTTAAATATAATGTATTTGTATTATTAGATACCTTAACTATTCAAACTGTGCAGGACAGTTGAGGACATTTGGAAACAGACTGATTAATAGTTGACTGTTACTTATCTACAAACTTCTTTTTTTTACTTCATCATTTGCTATTGACATTTGTTGTGTTCAAGGGACCTGCTTCTTGTGTATCTGCAGAAGCTAAGAATGTACCAGGAGTGGGGTTTGAACCCACGAGGGCTATTGCCCATTAGATCTTAAGTCCAACGCCTTAACCACTCGGCCATCCTGGTGAGGATGAACAGGAAATAGAGAATCAAATTAATCCATGATCAAAGGTCATGAGAAATGATATTAAGTCGTGCTTAACTATTCAAACTGTAAAAGAAACGATGTAGGAAATGGAAACAGACAGATTAATAATGAACTGTTTTTTACAAACTCAATATTTTTTTACTTTGTCATTTGCTAATAATTGCTATTGCCATTTGGTGTGTTCAAGGGACCTGAGGCCTGTACTATGAATCCAGTTCAACAGACCCTGGATATGTTTGAGTTAGCCGGCTTACCTAATCCAAAACAAACGCGCTCTCGCTAAACTGTCCTACGACGCTGGTTATCAACTCGGTAACTCAAGCCAGGGTTTCTCTGTCCGGCTGAGTGCGCGTTCACATGAAAGGGGCGGGGTTAGCAACATTTGATCAATCACAAACATGGACAAGCGTACTGACAGCGCAGCGTCATACTTCCTGAATGAAAAGTGAACTATAATATTAGTCAAATATGAAGAAGTTAAACTTTAAACATCCATGACTTAAACACTTTATCCAGGATAAAAGCCACATAGCTGCACCTGCAAGGTGAATACAGCTGGTAAAAGAAAAAGTGTTTGAATGCGTACATTAACAGGTTTATGATATCACTGCCCCGTCTAAGACACGATCTGACTTTAATTACATTTGACTCGAGTGTTTCGTCAACTTAATGTGTTGCTTAAAATAATACTTCTGCATGCAGTATGTGACACTGTGAGTGTTGCACGGCCAGATACGGCTCAAGAAGCTGACCCAAATAAGGAAATATATGATACATTATGATGTGATATGATATGAATGATAATGGGACACATCGACGTCTGCACTCACAGGACTGTACTTAATGTTACTTTGATCCGGTTACTTATGTTGTGGCAGATATTTAAGTAAGCTTTCTTAACGCTAATGTTATAATAGTCAGATTGCTCTGAAGATGGGAGGGGATATTCTATTAATTTTCACGTTCACACAGTCAGTTGATTTTGGCCGGCCGTCTTTCCTGCAACGGCAGTTTTTCTGTATTTCCTCTATCCTGTAATATGAATTGATCGCTTTAAACTCCGCACACTGAGCTCTGATTGGTCAGCAGGCGGTGCTTTCACTGAGTTGATCTCTTATCCTGGAACCTGTTAGCTGTTCAGCATAAGTTACCATGGAGATCTAGCTCGGTAAGAAGAGAACCAGCGTCGTAGGACCGGAAACCCAGAGTTTTCCCTGCAGTTAGCTCGCTAAGCGAAAATCCGGCTTCGTAGTACAGGCCTCTGCTTCTCCCTTACATTTACTATGCAAATATGTCACTGTATCTGCAGAAGCTAAGAATTTACCAGGAGTGGGGATTGAACCCACGAGGGCTATTGCCCATTGGATCTTAAGTCCAACGCCTTAACCACTCGGCCATCCTGGTGAGGATGAAGAGGAAATAGAGCATCAAATTAATCCATGATCAAAGGTCATGAGAAATGATATTAAGTCGTGCTTAACTATTCAAACTGTAAAAGAAACGATGTAGGAAATGGAAACAGACAGATTAATAATGAACTGTTTTTTACAAACTCAATATTTTTTTACTTTGTCATTTGCTAATAATTGCTATTGCCATTTGGTGTGTTCAAGGGACCTGAGGCCTGTACTATGAATCCAGTTCAACATACCCTGGATATGTTTGAGTTAGCCGGCTTACCTAATCCAAAACAAACGCGCTCTCACTAAACTGTCCTACGACGCTGGTTATCAACTCGGTAACTCAAGCCAGGGTTTCTCTGTCCGGCTGAGTGCGCGTTCACATGAAAGGGGCGGGGTTAGCAACATTTGATCAATCACAAACATGGACAAGCGTACTGACAGCGCAGCGTCATACTTCCTGAATGAAAAGTGAACTATAATATTAGACAAATATGAAGAAGTTAAACTTTAAACATCCATGACTTAAACACTTTATCCAGGATAAAAGCAACATAGCTGCACCTGCAAGGTGAATACAGCTGGTAAAAGAAAAAGCGTTTTAATGCGTACATTAACAGGTTTATGATATCACTGCCCCGTCCAAGACACGAGTGGATCTGACTTTAATTACATTTGACTCGAGTGTTTCGTCAACTTAATGTGTTGCTTAAAATAATACTTCTGCATACAGTATGTGACACTGTGAGTGTTGCATGGCCAGATACGGCTCAAGAAGCTGACTCAGATAAGGAAATATATGATACATTATGATGTGATATGATATGAATGATAATGGGACACATCGACGTCTGCACTCACAGTGCCGCGGACTGTACTGAATGTTACTCTGATCCGGTTACTTATGTCGTGGCAGATATTTAAGTAAGCTTTCTTAACGCTAATGTTATAATAGTCAGATTGCTCTGAAGATGGGAGGGGATATTCTATTAATTTTCACGTTCACACAGTCAGTTGATTTTTGCCGGCCGTCTTTCCTGCAACGGCAGTTTTTCTGTATTTCCTCTATCCTGTAATATGACTTGATCGCTTTAAACTCCGCACACTGAGCTCTGATTGGTCAGCAGGCGGTGCTTTCACTGAGTTGATCTCTTAGCCTGCAACCTGTTAGCCGTTCAGCATAAGTTACCATGGAGATCTAGCTCGGTAAGAAGAGAACCAGCATCGTAGGACCGGAAACCCAGAGTTTTCCCTGCAGTTAGCTCGCTAAGCGAAAATCCGGCTTCGTAGTACAGGCCTCAGCTTCTCCCTTACCGTGTGGAGGGCATTTATTATGCAAATATGTCGCTGTATCTGCAGAAGCTAAGAACTTACCAGGAGTGGGGTTTGAACCCACGAGGGCTATTGCCCATTGGATCTTAAGTCCAACGCCTTAACCACTCGGCCATCCTGGTGAGGATGAACAGAGGGTGTTTCTCAATCGCGAGTACGCTTGCTTGGTAGCACATGTCTGCCGAGCATCTTGCTTCAGAAGCGAGGCAAGAATACTTCCTGGCATTCGGAAAACAAAGAGTGGAACACGCTAGCAAGTGTGCAGGTGGGCGTCATATGAGAGGCCCCGCCGCCTTACATCTTCCGCCACAGACTTTGGGGAAATTGGTCCGTGCGCAAAGCATTGTGGGGATTTTAAGACCGCGGAGTCTACTCATGTGCAGCCTCGATATTTCTCCAAACGGAGACCGCCGGGCTCGGTAGATTTCCAAGTATGCTGGAGATTGGAACAGTCCTTCGGCGGCACTCGATGACGTAGTATGCTTGAAATAGTGGCTCTGGAGCAGCTTTACTCGAGATTGAGAAACACCCAGTAAATACTGTAGATTGTAGAACATCAAATGAATCCATGGTCAAAGGTCGAGAAAATATATAAATGAAAAAGATCCTTCATGATCGCCTGTTGGTGTTTTTATCATGTTCTGTTGCTTTTACCTCTTAGAATATTTAACTAATTGTATGGTGTCCTTGGGTGTCATGAAAGGCGCCTTAAATATAATGTATTTGTATTATTAGATACCTTAACTATTCAAACTGTGCAGGACAGTTGAGGACATTTGGAAACAGACCGATTAATAGTTGACTGTTACTTATCTACAAACTTCTTTTTTTTACTTCATCATTTGCTATTGACATTTGTTGTGTTCAAGGGACCTGCTTCTTGTGTATCTGCAGAAGCTAAGAATTTACCAGGAGTGGGGTTTGAACCCACGAGGGCTATTGCCCATTGGATCTTAAGTCCAACGCCTTAACCACTCGGCCATCCTGGTGAGGATGATCAAGAAATAGTGAATCAAAAATAATCCATGGTCAAAGGTCATGAGAAAATATATTAAGCATATGGATACCTTAACCATTGAAACTATGCAGGAAACGGAAACAGAGCGATTAACAGTTTTTTTTTTATACAAAGTCAATTCTTTTTTTACTTTTTAATTTGCTAATAATTGCTATTGCTGCTTCTGTTTTTCAAGGGACCTGTTTCTCCCTTACCGTGTGGAGGGTGTTTATTATGCAAACAAGTTGCTGTATCTGCAGAAGTTAAGATTTACCAGGAGTGGGGTTTGAACCCACGAGGGCTATTGCCCATTAGATCTTAAGTCCAACGCCTTAACCACTCGGCCATCCTGGTGAGGATGAACAGGAAATAGAGCATCAAATTAATCCATGATCAAAGGTCATGAGAAATGATATTAAGTCGTGCTTAACTATTCAAACTGTAAAAGAAACGATGTAGGAAATGGAAACAGACAGATTAATAATGAACTGTTTTTTACAAACTCAATATTTTTTTACTTTGTCATTTGCTAATAATTGCTATTGCCATTTGGTGTGTTCAAGGGACCTGAGGCCTGTACTATGAATCCAGTTCAACAGACCCTGGATATGTTTGAGTTAGCCGGCTTACCTAATCCAAAACAAACGCGCTCTCGCTAAACTGTCCTACGACGCTGGTTATCAACTCGGTAACTCAAGCCAGGGTTTCTCTGTCCGGCTGAGTGCGCGTTCACATGAAAGGGGCGGGGTTAGCAACATTTGATCAATCACAAACATGGACAAGCGTACTGACAGCGCAGCGTCATACTTCCTGAATGAAAAGTGAACTATAATATTAGTCAAATATGAAGAAGTTAAACTTTAAACATCCATGACTTAAACACTTTATCCAGGATCAAAGCCACATAGCTGCACCTGCAAGGTGAATACAGCTGGTAAAAGAAAAAGCGTTTGAATGCGTACATTAACAGGTTTATAATATCACTGCCCCGTCTAAGACACGATCTGACTTTAATTACATTTGACTCGAGTGTTTCGTCAACTTAATGTGTTGCTTAAAATAATGCTTCTGCATACAGTATGTGACACTGTGAGTGTTGCACGGCCAGATACGGCTCAAGAAGCTGACTCAAATAAGGAAATATATGATACATTATGATGTGATATGATATGAATGATAATGGGACACATCGCCGTCTGCACTCACAGTGCCGCGGACTGTACTTAATGTTACTCTGATCCGGTTACTTATGTCGTGGCAGATATTTAATTAAGCTTTCTTAACGCTAATGTTATAATAGTCAGATTGCTCTGAAGATGGGAGGGGATATTCTATTAATTTTCACGCTCACACAGTCGGTGATTTTGGCCGGCCGTCTTTCCTGCAACGGCAGTTTAAACTGTATTTCCTTTCTCCTCCTGTCATATGAATTGATCGCTTTAAACTCCGCACACTGAGCTGCTGATTGGTCAGCAGGCAGTGCTTTTATCCTGGAACCTATCCTGCTCCGGAGGATAGCCGTTCAGAATAAGTTATCTAGCCCGCTAAAAAGTGAACCAGCTTCGTAGGACCGGAAACCCCTGAAGTTAGCTTGCTAAACGAAAATCTTGATTCGTAGTATACCCCCCTGGCCCCTGCTTCTCCCTTACATTTACTATGCAAATATGTTGCTGTATCTGCAGAAGCTAAGAATTTACCAGGAGTGGGGATTGAACCCACGAAGGCTATTGCCCATTGGATCTTAAGTCCAACGCCTTAACCACTACCACTCGGCCATCCTGGTGAGGATGAACAGGAAATAGAGCATCAATCTGATCCGTGGTCAAAGGTTGTGAGGTTGAGAACATATATAAATTACATAGATCCTTCATGTTGGTGTTTTTATCATGTTCTGTTGCTCTTAGAATATTTAACTAATTGGGTGTCATGAAAGGCGCCTTAAATATAATGTATTTGTATTATTAGATACCTTAACTATTCAAACTGTGCAAGACACTTGAGGAAATTTGGAAGTCCAACGCCTTAACCACTCGGCCATCCTGGTTCTTTGTGCTAGTCAGAATACTCCATATTGCCCAAATAATTATGGCACAAATGCCTAAGAGTAGAGCGTAAATCCAAAAATGAAGAATTTACTTCCCAGCTCCATGAATCTATTACTCTTAATTAGTTGACTTATTTGAAATCATGCATGAAAACATGTCATACTGTTTCCTGAAAGCCTTGGAACAACCGATGTGGCAGATAGTGATTGAGCTCCCCACCAGATCTCAGGTCTGATGGCTTAACCTCTTAAATAACCAGCCACCCTGGTTACTTTTTGTGTCATTAGTAAAGCTTTTTGCCAGTGTGCAACTTCGTACGAGAGACTCACAGTTTGAGTTGTGCTGTGTTTTGATCCAACTCTATACGAGACACGAATGATGTGGAAGTTAAATGTATTTTTTAATTCTTTGAGTATTTGGGAGAGTCATTGAATTGTGAGGTGATGCGGTGTGAAGTGTTCGATCCAGGAAAATAAGAAACAAACACACACACACAAATCAAAAGCACGCACTCACACTCGCAGTATTTCGATTAAGGAATGTATAATTATTGTTCAGTGGAGACCTGAGGTGTGAAATAATCACACTGTTTGTTTGATTCCCTGCCATGTATGACAAATCAAGATTTCCCAACAAAAAAGCAACGTTTTCTAAACCTGTTTGTCACCCTTATAATAAGTGTTATTCTCACAGCTTTTTTAGTCATTGCTTTTCAACCTGTTTCAATAGCACCATATATATATATCCCACTGTCAAAAGCAGCAATCTTCTAATGTATCACCTTCCATTCTCTGTTAATGTCAGGACTTTTCATTCTGGTTTTTCTCCATCTGCCTATTACTAATACTACCTTTTCATTTGGGCATCAATGAAAGGCTTTAATCTTCCTCTTTTGACGGGTTAAAGCACAGTCCTTGAGAACCCTTGAAGGGACCTGGCCCATCTCCTCCATTTACTCTTATAACTCTACTGGGCTTTCTAGTGGCAGCATAAAGAAATCACAATGCTCCATTCCCTCGCACGTCTACAATGAAATAAACACAACATTTTAAACGATTATAGGAAAATATATCAATGTTCCCCTTCAACATGTGACAGAGAAATGCTGAAAGACGTGCAAATAAAGACACGAGCTACAGTTTATCATTATTATATGTCATTATTTCCATTTTCATCTCTGTGAGAGTCATTTATAGTTATCTCACATCAAGAGGGTAACTCATGTGGAGCCGAACCAATTGCCTGCTGTCTCAGTGTCGCACTAAATAACACAAATCTGAGCCAGCAGATGCATGGCAAAGAACTGGATTCTGCTGGATAATAATCTAGTGACTGTAGAAACAGGAGGATATTGAATCAAATCAACATATATACATAAATATAGCGACCCACTCCAGTCACATCCTCAGCAGAGAAGGGGAATCTGCTCCAGTGGATTTGATTAATTATCCTCCTGTTTCTAAATTAACTAGATAATTATCCAGCAGAATTCGGTTCTTGCACAGTTAGGTTCACTGAAACAGAAACCATGGCTCCCACTGTACGCTGCCTCATTGCAGCTGTTGATTACATTTGGGGACCATGAGATATAAAGTTTATAGAAAAATGGAGTTACAGACGCAGCTTCCATACGCTTCTCTCACCTCAGAGCAATGACTACTACAACATAGAAGCAGTCATGCATTTAATACACTTGACCCATCAGTTTTGTAGCAATTTACTTCAGCTCAAACCGTGTCACATTGCATCAACATGATCAAAAGGTCAATTCCCTGTAGAGGAAAAACCTGGAAAATAAGAGCAATAACAACAACCGTGTAAGACATTTTAATCTCTCCAGTTCGGCGTGTTTCCTTTAAAAAACAATTTAGTGGTTTGTGCTGTATCTTTGATATAGCTAATCCTGCAGATGTGTAATGACAGTGGAAGTCATATTCACTATAACAAATGGGTGTGAAAGTAGTGAGAAGATATCATACAGCTACCAAAGGTGTTAGCGGGAGAGAAGTGGTCGGAGGTGCAAAGTGTGGGACTAAAAGTGTTTAAATATCAGTCAGTCAACCTTGTCCAGTTGAAGTATTACGCCTTTGAGGTCTTACGGCCCGTCCACACAGCAGCGTTAAAAAAATCTTGGAGGTGGGCGTATCTGAAGCTTGGGGATTTTTTGCGAGCAACGCGACCAACAACCAATCACATGAATCTCCCGCCCCCGACATACGAAGCAAAAAAGCCCGAAGTAAACTGGATATAAACTCCCCAAACAGGCGAAAACATACCACTGTCTCTGCCACCAGTCCCTCCATGCCTGGCTCCTCCGGTTTGTATCCCGGTAGGTAAATAGGGACTGGTCATAAAGCACCGGGTGATTCCCTACCGCTAATTTCTCCTCCATGTTTTGGAATATGAGGAAATGACCTGCGGTCTGTCTCTCCCAGCATACACACGGTTTGATTGGCTAGCGCTTGAACTGTCAGATTTGCATGCACGGGATTTGATTGGCTGACGCTTCCACCTCAGCTTCAAAAGTTGAACATTGCTCAACTTTGAATCCTGAAAATCCTGAAAATCTCCGCTCTGCTTCCCACAATGCAGTTCGGCGAAAAGTGAGGCAAAGTGACGTCACCCCATTCAAAGTGAATGGGCAGAAGCGTTTCAAGATTTTTTAACGCTGCTGTGTGGACGGTCCGTTAGTGTTTACATGGATGCAATTTTTTAGATTAAATCAATATTTTAGATAACTTTCACCAGATTAACCAGGCCAATGTCTGACTAAGGAACATGCTTTTTTTTACTTTACTTTACCACTTATAACCGCTACCGTCAAGGGTCCTGCCTTTTCCATACAGTGGTGATATGTTTTATATATGTTCCTGTATCTGCAGAATCTAACAAATTACCAGGAGTGGGGTTCGAACCCACGAGGGCTATTGCCCATTGGATCTTAAGTCCAACGCCTTAACCACTCGGCCATCCTGGTAGTGATTATGTGAAATACTCTCAACAAAAGAAAAAACCCAGGAAGAGGACACGGACTTAACCAATACTTTTTTTTGTAGTTACTCATTGACACTTGCAATAACTAACTTACAAAATGTGACTAAAGGATGGATTTGTAAGGACTAAACATACCTCATGTAATCACACATGGATTGCAACATGTTTGGAGTATTTCTTAATGTATGGTGTTTTCACAGACTCTGTTAAGTATATTGTACTATT